CATCTTGTACCTGAATATAAAATACATATAAAATAAAATAAACAACAAACATTTATTTTAAAATTTTCTGCTTCATAGATACATTTTAAATTATTTCTTCAAAATTGTACCATAATTTATTTTGTACTAATACTCTACTTGATTACATTTTCTTTCTCAGTCTTTCTATACTAATTTTCCTTTTGAAGCTATTGGTTCTTGTAACATGTCCATAGATAAATCTCAAGAGAACTGAGATTTTTGAGCACTGGATATATTTGAAGTTTTAAGATAATTGACCCTTTGACTCTTTATTTATTAACCAACAAAGTAAATTTAATACAAGATATGGTATGATGTATGAAAAACAAATGAACATTTGTTTCTTCTTTTTTGTTTTTTATTTTTTGCTTAATTCAGATGTAAAATTTATGGATTAATTAGTATTCATAAAAATGTTACATTAAAATTTATCTCACTGTGCTTTCTTGCTGCAAACAAGATTTCTCCATCAACATAAAATTGCTCCTTTAAAAGGTCAGTTCATGTTCTTTTCTTATGCACAAGTAATTTTCTCTAATCATTCTAATCCATAATAACTGGTTCTCTCCCATCTTTATAAATATTTGTCATAGTCACTGTAGGACAAGCATTCTCTATCAGGTTGGTTTGATTCAAAAGATCAGTTGTTTAAACTCACCAGCCACTCCTCAAAAATACTATTCAGGGTCACTATGAGTCAGAACCAATTCAATAGCACTTAAAACCACAACAGCAACAGTAAGCTATGATATTCAATAAATTATCATCCTTCAATTTTAAGTATACAAGCTTTATATGTCCAGCTTTAAATAAACTTCATATAAGTGTAGAATCTCAAAACTGAAGTTTTATACAAAGACGCATATTGTACAAATTTTCTCACAATTGTAAAGAAAAGTTTTCATTCAAATCATAATCTCCAAACTAAATTATACATTTAATTTTTCAGGGTAATTAAAAATATTCTCCATTATCACATATAAGGAAATAATGTTAAGTGAATGCTTTTTCCTACTTAAAAAATTAAAGTTCTTTTAATTTTAGTAATTAATTATTTCACTGTATGCATTAACAAATGCTCTGATTACAATATATGTTATCAATAGCTTATCTTATCTGAATAAAACTCCAGAAATTTTTGATATGGACAACATACCAGCTTTTGCTAAATTAGAAAGCCTCTCTGGTAAAATTACATCTGGGAAAATATCAGGGTTTCTGATATTATAACATGAGCCAGTTTTTATTTTTTATCAGAACTGTCTCTTTTGTTATATACTTTAAAAACTGGTTGTAATAATCAAATATACTAATGTATTTAAAATTATAAAATGTTATATGGTTGTGAATTATTTTTAACAAGTAAATTTTATGTTGTTGAAGAATAATATAGTTTGTTGAATTCATAATGTAAATCTATGTATTAATTCAAATTGTAACTGCGAATTACTGAACATATTACAGATATCTTCTGTTTTTGAAAGCTTCTTTTATGCCACTTTGCTTTTACAAAAGACCTATATTAGTACATGCTTTTTCTAACCAAAAGAAATTCAGAGGAATTTTTTCTTTCTTTCTTTCTTTCTTTCTTTCTTTCTTTCTTTCTTTCTTTCTTTCTTTCTTTCTTTCTTTCTTTCTTTCTTTTTTAAGGAAAGTGGTGAAAAGTGAGAAATTAGCATTCAGCCTTTATTTTTCAGCAAGTCATTAAAGAGGCAGGATGTACCTCTAGCCATAAGGGTGGTATCACCAAGCTCCTTCCCTGGAAAGGCTATACAACATCTCAGCATCTATCTGCAACACCATTGAACTGTGTATGTGAACAGTATATGTTAAGGTTATTTTAGCTTTATGTGTTATTTGTTATGATTTTGTATATTATTTTTCTGGGTCTGGAAAAGCTAAAAAATGCTTTCAATATAAATTAATGGTAATTACTTCATCACTTTACATCATTTCAACTTAGAAGAGGGTTCATAGAAATGCTCTACTTATGGCTATTGATAACATATTGTAATCATTTGCTAATGCATGCCATGAAATATTTAATTACTAAAATTAAAAGAAACTTTAATTTTTTAAGTATGAGAAAGCATTTGCTTAGCACTGTTACCTTATATGTGATAATGGGGAATATATTTTTTTAATTTATAATGAATATATATATATGAGAGTGTGGAAAATGAAAAAAAATAGGTACAAAATAATGAACATTGCAAAACACTTTATATTCAGAGAAATATCAGGACAATACTTTAATTATGATAAAACCACTCATTAAATTGTAAAATTGCCAAAATAGATGCAAACTTGTAGGATATGATATATGAAAATTTTGAGGAAATGATGTCCATGGTAAAAGTGTTTGGGTTTTGGATCCTAGTGGCCACCTTAGGATGAACACTGGACTGTTAACCATAAGGTCAGTGCTAAAAACCCATCAGCTGTTCCCTGGAAACACTAGACAGAGTCAATGTGAGTTGGAACAGACTCAACAACACTTAACAACAACAACAACAATATTTCGGTGTTTGCAGATAATTTGAAGATATCAATTTTTATCTTCTAATTTTATATCCTAGATACAATTAAGATTTAAAATTATAACAGAAAATAATCAAAAAATCACATAAATAAAGAACATCAATATTATATTTTATTATATTTATTTAATAAATAATTAAATACTATATATTTAAATTAAAATCTTGGACAAAACAAAACATCTTAAGTGTTTGCCACAAAATAGAAACATTTTAATGAATGAATAATTGAGTGATGGCTCAAAATAATACTAGCAAAACATCATTTATATTTGCTAAATGAAACTACTAAGTAAAACAACAAAACTGGGAATGGAAGCAAATACTTCTGAATGATGTTGAATGGAGGAGATTGAAGTCATTGCAATGAAATGTGCCATTGAGTCAGGACTGACTCATAGTGACTGAATGTACAACAGAACAAAACACTACCCGGTTCTGAGCCAACCTCATAATCACTGCTACGTTTGAACCCATTGCTGCTGCCACTGTGTCAATCCATCTCTCTGGGGTCTTCCTCTACCAACACTCTACCAAATGTAAGATCAATAAAAATGACAATTTTTACATAAGAAGCAATGATCAGATATGCTTCTTTTCAGTATAGTAAAGATGATAATAACCCTTTATGAAAATGATAAGTAGAATTCCTTGAAAAATACAAAGCTGAATTTATTAAGGGAATCTTTGTGCTTTAAAATAATGTATATATTGGATCAAACAATAAAAAAATATTTTAGTTAACATTTATTTAACAAATATATGATGCCTTAAAAGGTTTTGTAATCAGGACACTAATTTTAAAAAATTAAGTTATATTTATGGTTACAAGGGCATTTAAGGATTTTTTTTTAATCTTTTCTCAATGAGTTTAATTATAGATCAATGTAAAAATGTCTCTAGAATGACTAATAAGTCCCATGTTTAATAGTAAACATGAAGCATTAGTAATACAAAAGCATCTGTATCCTTCTGTGGTAGGTCTTAAAACTTCAAGAAATCTTTTTAAAGTTATGGAGCATTGTCTGAAGCTACAATTGAGGCAAAATCTAAGAAAACAAAATTCATAGGAAATGAGAATAGATACATTGTTGTTAAGAGCTGTTGAGTTGGGTCTGATTCATACTGACTTTGTTTAGGGTCTGAGGAGTGAGCAGCTGATAGGTTTGAACTGCCTACCTTGTGGTTCAAACCAAGGTCCAGTACTTATCCTGCAGTGCCACAATAAATATGTTGTTAAGAGCCATAGAGTTAATTCCAAGTCATAATGACCCTGTACAGGATACCAAGGAACAACTGGTGGGTTTGAACCTCCAACACTGCATTAGCAATCCAGTGTTTACCCTAGAGTGCTACACAATAGCAATTAAGGATGTTTTAAAAATTATTATTTATTATATTCACTTTAAACTGAATTCTTGTGAGCATGGTGTAATATTGTCTGCCTGAAAAAAGCATACATGTTAAAACATTAGGTTTTGAAAACTCTCTACTTTGTTCAAATTAATCAAAAGTTAATTAAAAGAATATATCTTCAGCATTATAAGAAGTAAAGTTGAAAAATAAACCAACAAATAATTAAAGTAATTCTAAATGTCTAGTTGAATGCAGCCGTAAGCAACTTTCTCTTACCTCAAACAGAAGAGTCAGTTCTATCAAAGTTCCAAATCAACTACTTTTGTGGCTGAGTTTGAGAATATGAAGATTTTGAGCCCAGTGGGAAATAGTCCCCATGCTATCAGGAAAATAAAAATCTAAGCAAGTTATTTATGGAAGTAAATATTTAGATTACATAAGGCACCCATTCAATTAAGTCTATTAGCAATCACACATACAAATTTATACATTATTCCCATTTATGCTGAACTTGAAATGCCAATGGATTTTCATAACAATGAAAGTGGACATACATACTATAAAATGTAAGTTTTTTTTTATGACATTAATGCATGATGATGATAATGTGAGGAAACCATCACCTACCTGATAAGAAATTTTAAAAGTCTTTGAGAAAAAAAATTCACCATGATCCATCTATTTGACCCAGTAATTACATGAGTAGATATTCTTGCTTCCTGCAAGGTTGGAGCAAGAAAGACAGAAAACAAGGCTGGTACATAATCTAGTGCCATATAGAAGGAAAGTGTTTTAATAGATAGGCGCTTGTTTAAAAACAAATAAAACAGGAGCTCCTAATGGTCAAAACAGAAACTATTTGAGAAACAAAATAGATAATAATCGTATCGAATTTAAGCCCATAGAGTAA